AAAGTGAACTGGTAACCAGTGCAGGAAGGCCAAAACTGGTGTAATGTGCTCTCTTTTGCCTGTACTGGTTAAAAATCGGGCTGCTGCATTCTGGACCAGTTGTAGTCGTGCAATGGAGGTCTGACTGATACCAAACAGGAGTGAGTTGCAGTAATCAAGCCTAGATGTAATGAATGCATTTATTACTGTCTCCAGGTTATTTTTTGGGCAACATGGGTTTCAGTTTAGACAGCCGCCTCAGTTGGAAGAAACATGATTTAACAATCATGTTTACATGATTGTTAAGTTTCAGGGAAGGGTCCATTATCACTCCCTGATTAGTGACTCTTTGTTTTTCTGACAGGGTTAGAGCGGAGAGATCGATGCAGTGGTTTGTGAACGTGTCATTGGGAGGGAACAACATGACTTCAGACTTCTTTTCATTGAAGCTTAAGAAGTTTAAAGCCATCCAGTCCCTGATGTCAGCCAGGCAGTTGAGCAGTGGTTGAATCGAGCATGTACCATTGTGTCTTAGGGGGAAGTAAATTTGACAGTCATCGGCATAGAAGTGGAAGGGCATGTTGTGTTTCCAGAAAATAGCACCAAGCGGCAGCAGATATAAAGAGAATAGGAGGGGACCCAGGATGGACCCCTGCGGAACCCCCGATTTAAGCTCTGCCTCTGCGGAACAAAAATCCTTGATGGAGACACAAAAGGATATGTCAGCGAGGTAGGATCTGAACCAATTGAGGGCTGACCCTGTGATGCCCACCCACTGCTCTAACCTAGCAATGAGGATCTCATGGTCGATGGTGTCGAAGGCGGCCGTGAGGTCCAATAGGACAAGCAGCACAGAATCACCAGTATCTGTGGATCTGAAGATGTTGTTAAAGGCCTTCAGCAGGGCAGTTTCAGTGCTGTGGAGAGGTTTAAAGCCAGATTGGAATAGCTCTAAGATGGTGTGACCTTCCAGGAAGCACTTCAACTGGGACTCGACTATTTTCTCCAGTACTTTAGAAACAAAAGGGAGTTTAAAGACAGGCCGGAAGTTGGAAACGACTGGGGGGTCAAGGTTTGGTTTTTTTGAGGAGAGGCTGGACAGGAGCATGTTTAAAGGATTTTGGCACCACGCCAGTGGATAAACTACTGTTTACTATATCAAGAATGGACAGACCTAGAGTGGGAAAAACCTCCTTTAGTAGTCGAGGGGGGGTCACATCAAAGGGGGAACCAGAAGGTTTCAAGCTGCACATGACCTGCTCTAGAGAAGATAGAGTGATGGGTTCAAAATGGTCAGATTGAGTTACATATTGCAGTGGGATGGATGGGTCATGAGTTGGAGGGGAAATAAGAGCCCTGGTGGTCGCAATTTTTTCCAAAAAGAAATGTAGGAAGTTGTCGCACAGCTCAGTCGAGGCTTCCAGAGGTGATGGTTCAGTGAGGTGGACAACAGAGTTTAGGGTGGAGAAGAGGATACGTGGGTTGCGAGAGTTTGAGGCAATTATATCAGAGAAGTATTTGGATTTAGCAGCTTTCACTGCTTTCTGATAACGGTGCCAACTCTCTTTAAGTATTTGAAAAGAGACCTGCAGCCTGTCTTTCCTCCACTTTCATTCCGCCCTCCTACACTGCTGCCTAACGGCCTTGGTGACGTCACTCAGCCAAGGTCCTGCTCTGAGTTTTGATTTTTTGGTTTAAACAGGCGCAACATCATCCAGAGTCTTTAAGCAGACAGAGTTGAACTGGGATGTCAGTTCCTCAGAGGTGGAGAGAAACACCGGGGGCTGAATTATCATTTCAGAGTTATAATTATCTGTGAAACGTGTCACAGTGAAATGGTTAATTGCCCGGGTGCTACGTGCAGGAATGCACGACTTAGTAGTTAGATGGGGGACGGTGAACTCAAAGTGGACTGGCATGTGGTCTGAAAAAACATTATCACCAATAACAAGATCATTAACAGTCGCATCATGAGTTAAAACAAGGTCCAGTGTATGCCCGCGCTCTTGGGTGGGACCATTTACATGCTGAGTTAGATTAAATGAGTCCAATAAATCTAAAAAGTCCTTAACCAAGGGCTTCTCAGGACAGCACACATGCAAATTAAAGTCCCCAATAATGAAAACATGCTCATATGTGATTTCAGTTAAGAAGTCAGAAAACTCATTTATGAAATCCTTAGATCGAGGTGGGCGGTAGACGAGTGCACATAACGTCAGAGGTGAATATTAGAGTTCAAAGATGCTCAGCTCAAAGTTGACGCAGGAAACTGGGATGGGCAGTTGTTTACAGTCAAAAGTTGATTTGAATATTGTTAATAATCCACCACCGCACCGGCCTGATGGCCGCGGTGCGTTAAAATACAGACAGTTTGGTGGCAGTAATTCCATCAAGGCGCTGGACTCACCCTGTATGTCCTGTATGCAGGACACACCTCGGAAGGTGTTGGATGAAGACATTTCATCCCCGTAGGACATACCATCCGCATCTCTGCAGGGTAGGAAGGTATGCCCGAGCTGGTATGTGTGCTACGGCTGGAACTTCCACTCCACAGAATGGGTCCGCCGGGCCAAGGGCAACATCTCCTCTCGTTGTATTTTTAAGAAATAATGAAATGTTTTATTAATAACCCACTTAAACTGTCAAACTGATTTGTAGTTTAGTTGTGCTGTTTAATAATAGTTTTGAGATTTTTAATAAAAATGCACAATGACTTTGGACTTTTAGGGGTGGAGATTTGAGTTGTTGGATCCAAGCAGCCATTTTCCGGAACTCATCCTGTCAAAATAAGAGAGTTCCCGGATCTTGTTCTGGCAATCTGCCTCAAATTAAGCCCTGGATCAGCATAATTCTTCTCACCTGGTGGCCATAGAATTTAAGCACTCCCCTGTTCTCTATCCAGTGCCAGATTATTGAAAGGCTTACACAAGTAAATGTCCAGTGATTACCTCATGCTTCTAACTGATCTTATCATCCTGACCAGGTTTCTGTGCCCTGAATTTTCCTTTTCCCCCTTGCAAAATTTTCAGTGTGTTTCCACAGACTTATGCTGACTCACACCAGTCCATAACTGGTTGAAACTACCGTACCCATCACTGCACTCTGTACTCCTTGGTCAGTTGGTCATCATTGTCTACACGTAGGCTTCATTTTCATCTATAAATCACTCCTTGGTCTGCTACCTTCTTATATCTCCTCCTACGTGTCACATCGTCAGTGCAGTTACAACATGCACTCTCATGCCATCATTACCTGCAGCGTTCCCTCAGTGTGGACTGAGATTGGCAAAAAGGCCTTTTCATACTCTGCTCCTGCAACCTGGATCACCTTGCAACAGGAACTGAAGCTGTCCACCTTAATTTCTTTAGGGAATTTTAAACATTTGATAAAGTCATTAGAAAAATCAAAGCAAATATGTTCTTATTTTTTTATTTTACCTTGTTTTATGGCACCCTGATTTATTGTTTTATAACACTACTTTTATTTTAATTGCATTTTTTATTGTAGTTTATTGTTATTGTTTACTGTTATTATTGTCTGTACTTTATATGTGCTGTCTGGAACAGGTCCTTCTTGTAAATAAGTCCTTGTGGCTCAGTGAGATTAGCCTGTATAAATAAAGGTTGAATGAATATGTGAGGGATCACTGTATAACTCGCTGATACTTTATATCTTTGGACTTTCCAGACAGATAAAACAGGGTGTGCTACATTTGAATTCAAGATGTCTGCTTTCACCAAAATTGACCAAAAGATATTGCATGATCAACTGGAGGTGGGTGCCACGGTAGAAGAGGAGGGAACAGGTGAATTTTTGTTTCTTAATGGAGTAGTCGGCTCAGTTTTGAAGTGAAGTTCTTTCTAAGAGTTATCAACAGTTGTTTTAACAGCCTTGATAAGGAACTAACTGTCATAGAGCACTCTATCAGTCATAGTGCACAGAGGTTAGAGAAGGTGAACCTATGACTGGGATGGTCACCAGTTCGGATCCCAGGTGACAGGTGAAGCATACACATATGCCTCCACCCTCATTTGTCCACCTCTGGGCCCTTGAACAAGGCCCTTAACCTCCCCATCTGTTTCCCTGGGCACTCTAGAAGTCAGCTCTGCTCCACATAAAGGGTTGTGGTAGCTTGGTGATCTGTTGTTGCATCAGGAATGACATTCGGCGTAAAAACAATTGCCATGTCTTATCAATCATCCTTTTAGTCTTATTGCACGTTAGTTCACTATGGCGACCACTGAAAAAGGGAGCAGTCAAAATAATGCATACATTAGTAGTCTGTTAGCACAGACATTGTTTGGTTAAGAAAACGGCAACAAACGAAACAAATGATGTCATGTAAAAGTGTAGAAGTTTAATATTTGATAGATGTAGCTCTTTCACAGTGATATGTATTTTCTGGGAGGTTTGTTTCTATAAGCCAGTAAACTGGTTTTAAAAAGTGGCCCCTTCTTTTTGGGGCCATTCTGGCCTTCTTTTCATACTCTGTGCTTTATGATTCATGTCACAGCTGATATGACACTTCAAGTAGCATTTTAGCAGAATATAATGTACTTTTTCTCTAAATGAGAGTTATTATTGTGATCCATGGTTTTTAGGCCCATCTGCAGGCAAGAAGATCAGGAGTGTAAATAAAATAATTTATTAAACAAGCAAAACAAAAGGCTGATGAGGCAGCAAAACTTACACGAGCAAGGGGCAAACAGGAACAGGGCAGAACAGATTATCAGGTGAACAGGAACAGGACAGAATGGATAATTAGGTGAACAGGAACAAGCAGACTGAGGAGGACCGGGATGTCTGTAGGTTTACAGAGCAAGAAGCAGATGTCTTAGTGGTGAAGAGGAGAGGTTTAAATAAGGCTGTGGGAGAGTGAGATGAGTGCACCTGGGATGATACTGATTGGAAACAGGTGTGACTGATTAGTGGTTGGAGAGACAGGCTGAGGAGTGGATGAAGAATGGCAGGGAACAGAGTGACAACACAAGGAGCAGAAAAGGAAAATAAAGATACAGAAACACAAAAAAAGCAGACTGAAGGACAGATTATGTTAGTGCCCACCCCCCATCAAGGGATGGCTCCTGACGTCCCCAAAGACCAAACACAACAAAACAAACACAGTGGGTGGGGGTGGGGGTGGAGGGGAACACTAGGATGAAGGACATCAAGGAAAAATACAAAAAGCAAAAAACCTACAGGGTGTGACCTGGGTAAAACACAACACGCTTTTATGAATGACCCCAGGCACCATTTAAAGTGGGGCAAGAGTTCAGGTGGACGAGCTAGAAATTGTCCAGAGCGAGGTCGGAGTTCAGGCAGATGACCCGGGGATCGTCCAGAGTGGGGACAGAGTTCAGTTGGACAGCTCAGATACTGTCCAGAGCAGGCCAAGATTTCAGGCGGAGGCCACAGGGGAGGCTGCGGCAACAGATGAGGAAACTGTACAGGAGGCAGAGATGATTGGTGTGATGGCAGAAGACAAAGCAATGATGATGGGAGTTGTGGCAGGAGTCGGATCAGTGATGATGGGTGTGATGGCTAAAGTGGAACCAATTATGATAGGGGTGTCTACAGAGGCAGACGGCGATGATCAAGAGGTGGAGACTGCAGTAGATGGTGAGAGTTCTACAGCTGGTGAGTCAGCAGAGGGGTGTGCAAATGGTGAGTCAGAACAGGGGCCTGCAGCTGGCAAGTCAGGAGAGGGGTCTGCAGCTGGCAAGTCAGAGGAGGGGTCTGGTGAGTCAAATGTAGGGTCTGTAGATGCAGATGGGACCAGTAGATCTGATTCAGGCAATGGGACCAGCAGATCTGATGCAGTCGATGGGACCAGTATATCTGATGTGGGTGAAGGGACCAGCAGATCTGCAGCAGGCATAGGGAGCATAATATCTGCAGCGGGCATAGGGACCAGAAGATCTGCAGCGGGTGTAGGGAACAGGGGATCTGCAACAGGTATAGGGATAAGGAGATCTGCAATGGCTGTAGGAACCAGAAGATCTGCAGCGGGCATAGGGCCCAGAAGACCTGAAGCAGGCATAGGTACAAAAAGATCTGCAGCAGGCATAGGGACCAGGAGATCTGTAGTAGGCGTAGGGACCAGGAGATCAGCAGTAGGCGTAGACACTGTGGGGACTGCAGCTGGAGTTAAAACCATGGAAACTACAGCATGCATTGACACCATGGAGGCTGCAGCTGTTGTGGAGACCTTGGTGGCAGTAGGAGGCATAGCCACTTTAAGGACTGCAGTGGGTGTAGCAACTTCAGGTACTGCAGAGGGTGTAGCAACTTCAGGGACTGTAGGGGGCATAAACACTTCAGGGACTGCAGGGGGTGTAGCCATTTCAGGGACTGCAGGGGGCATAGCCACTTCAGGAACTGCAAGGGTCATAGATGTGAGGACCTCTGGGAAAGTGAGGCCCTCTGGAGACATGAGAACTTCTGGGGAGGCATAGAACCCTCTGAAAACTCAGAACCCTCTGAAGACTCAGGGACCTCTGAAGACTCAGTGACCTCTGAAGACTTGGAGACCTCTGAAGACTCTGGGACTACTGGAGACTCAGGGACCACTGGAGACTTAGGGACCACTAGAGACTTAGGAACCCCTGGAGATTCGGGAACCACTGGAGACTCTGGAACCAATGAAGACTCTGGAACCACTGGCAACTCGGAAACCACTGGTGACTCAATAACCACTTAAGAGACCAAGGAAGGTGGATTTGGCTGCTAGGACTCAACTGCTTTGTCAACTGGACAGGGCTCAGCTGAACTTGACATGGCTGAGCAGGGCATGGCTCAGCTGATCTCAGCTGGGCAGGAATCAATTGGGCAGGACTCGGCTGATGGGGTGCTGGTGACTCTCGCGGCATGGCCAACTCAGGTAGAGAGAAGGTTTGGAGTTCGGTGGACCTGGCTTGGGTTTGTTGTCGGCCCCTCTTCTGGTGGCAGCAAGGAGGAGGACAAGAATGTGGGTTGCTATCCTTGACATTCACTGAGCAACATGGAGGCGAGGTAAATGGACTGTACTTATATAGCGCCTTTCTATCTTATTTCAAGATACTCAAAGAGCTATACACTACAATCTGTGTCCTCATTTACCCATTCATACAGCACTCTACTAGATCTCTACAAAGCTAATTGAACAAATCATTCTAATGAGATTAATCAGTGCTTTAGATCACATTCATACACTCATGGGACACACATCAGAGGTAACGAGGGGTTCAGTGTCTTGCCCAGGGACACTTCAGCATGTGACTGCTGGTGGATTCGAACCTCCAACTCTCGCATTGGAGGACAACTGCTCTAACCACTCAGCCACAGTCGTCCCAGAGGTGTCATCCTCAACACCCTCTGACCAACATGGAGGCGAGTCTGTAAGTGGGACCATTCTCATAGACTCAAGGAGGTGACTGGGAAAGCCAGGGGGCAAAGCAGCAGGTGGCAGGAAAAGAGAGAATAAGTCACGTCTCTCTGTCCACACTTCATCAAACAGTTCATGCATCCCCAGTAAATCAGCCAGTCCAGGCAAATGGAGAAACATCCTCACCATGTTTTGAATCACTTTCATCCTCACCCAAGGATCACAGGGTGTAGCCATCGCATCCAAATAATTTTCTGTTACCTTGTGGAGCTTTAAATAGTCCTCCGGATGGAGCTCCGCAAGTAACGAACTTCCTGCAGGGTCTGGGTCGGGTCTGCTCCTTCTATTGCGATCCTCAGTTTTCACACTCATTTGCAAGGAGGCAAAGAACTTATTAATCAAGCAAAACAGAGGCTGGCAAGGCAACAAAACTCACATGAGCAAGGGGTGAACAGGGACAGGGTAGAATAGATTATCAGGTGAACAGAAACAGGACTGAATGGATTCTTAAGCAAACAATAACAAGCAGACTGAGGAGGACCGGGATGTCTGAAGGTTTACAGAGCAATGGGCGGATGTTTTAGTGGTGAAGAGCAGTTTAAATAAGGCTGAGGGAGAGTGAGAGATGAGTGCACTTGGGATGATACTGAGTGGAAACTGGTGTGACTGATTAGTGGTTGGAGAGATGGGCTAAGGAGTGGAGAATGGCAGGGAAAAGACAACACAAGGTGCATAAAAGGAAA